GATTCTAATGTACACTCTAGTTTTTAAGGTACATATTAACAGTTTACTCTACAATGAGGGGAAAATAATCTGAATATGAGAATTTTCTCTGTTACTCAAGTTTATGTTACATTTAGCACCAAGTATATTATTGTTGCTATCACCTTAGGGGCTGTTTACATGAGCCCGACTAGTCATGCAGGCTGGCCAGGTTAACCAGGCTGAAGGCCTGGCTAGCCAGGAGGTTACCTGAGCTGGTGACTTTACATGGAGAAATTTCAGCCCGGTTATCCGGGTGTCCCCTTTGACTCAAGTGAGATCTTGGCTAGGTAGATTCTTGTTAAATGATTTGTATTTAAGCTGGGTGCCTCGGTTAACAGGACTAGTCGGGCTCATGTAAATAGTCCCTTAGTTATTAAGACTTGTTGGCAGAGTAAAATATATCAGGCAATAAACTGGTTTCAACTTGCAACAAATCGGATGTTGGTGCATGTAAGTTGTTATTAAGACTTGTTGGCAGAGTAAAATATATCGGGCAATAAAACTGGACCAGGTTTCAACTTGCAACAAATCAGATGTTGGTGCATGTAAGTTGTAGTGTTGTTTTTACAAAGGGAACCAAGTAAATGAAACTTTATCATCGAGTGTATTTTACTGTGTACAAGTTGTACAAGCCCAAAAATGTAAACAACACTTTGATTTGATTTTAGTTCCATAAATCCATATTTTTTATCCATATTATCAATCCATATTTAATTTGACTTTAGTTCCATAAATCCATATAATTTAGTTCCATAAATTTGAGTTTAGATTCATAAATCTATTAAGATGTGCAACTGTCCTACATGCACAAATGCCATGCAATGTATTATGACCTAGATGATGACAGGAAGCAGTTTTGTTTCTTCAAGGCCTTTGATCAAACAGAAAACATATTTGAAGGTCTTCATGTTCCAACAAATTGCTTTCTGGACTACATCATGAAAGATACAAAAATTGTTTTTGAGGTTGTGCATTTACTACAGCTTGAAATTTGCCAATCGTGAACTTTCCAACACTAAAAAGAAGAACAGAAAATATTTGAAGGTAGCGCATCTTTAACCATGTGCACTGGACAATATGCTGTGTTGCCAAAACAATCAATCAATATAACTTCTACAAGTTATATTGCTTAAAATCTTTTACACCAAGTACATGAGAACTGAACTGTAAGATACAAGGCTGGTGTTAAATCTAATATTGATGGTAATCATACACAGGAGAAATTGCTAACTAAAGATTTTGCTACACTGAGTAAATCTATAGCAGGCAAGCTGAAAAATCAACTTGACATGCACAGCAAGAATGCAGCCCACAACCTCTGGTTTACAAGACCAATGCATTCCAGACTGAGCTACACAGTTTGAATGTGCAATATTTTATTATTTTGGAGCTTAATTAGTCTTGCTCCTTCAATATTCTTATCTCTACGATGGTAAACCTAACAATGCGGATGGTAATTGAAAACAGGTGAAATCGTTAATTAAGATGGTGCTTGCTGAGTAAATCTAAATGAGATTGGTGTGTTGCAGTTTTGGGTCATGAACTGTAACTTCTGGAAAGTTTAATAGTCTGCTCTACCATCAATTGCTGGACACAGATGTGAACAAATATCGTACTCATTACTGTTATCCAGCAATCAAAGTTTAATATCAAAGTTACTAATTATAAACCAGTTCTGGTGAAAATGGATTCTACTCGCGCAGTTTACTTAGTTTAGTCCAAAAACTTTTTTGTTAATTAATAAAAGAGGCCCAAGACAAAGACATCACATTCCCTTTCACTGATCAGGTATATAATTTAGTACCAATAGTAGTACGATAAGGATTTTCACAGTATAATATGCGCCTAAAATTAAATAAATTCAACCTAGTGCGTTCTAAAAACAAGACATGACGCATTTTTCTTCAAGCTAAGTTGAATAGTATAGTTGCAATAGTTTCAAGCTACACTCAGAAAAATAACATAATGCGTATATATCCATCGGTGCCAAAACAGCACATACAATTTGCAATGCGTTTAAAATGACAATTTTAGCATCATTCAATAAGCTTTTATTATAATAAAATGAATAATCTACCTTTCTTTAGTATGTCCTGAAAATTTCAATGACATCCACCATAAAATAACGACGATATACCCATTTAAAGTTATGATATACAAGTTTCGCCATATTAGTTTATAATGTTTATAATGTTTTGGACCAGAGTTGGTTGCTTTCAACATGGCGGCCAGGCGCCGGAAGTAACATGTGCCGGCACAAACACTTCAAAGGTTCCGACTCGAGTGAACCTTCTGCCCTATTTCTATATTGTGCCTGAGGATTATCAATTACCTTTAACAATTAATGAGCCGATAGTACATGGGCTGTCTTATAATATATGAGCTGAATTATAATATATTCAGTCTAATAGCCATTAACAGTAACAATAGTATATGCTTCTCTATTGTTTGTGTTTGTTTTAGTTTGTTCGGCTAAAAACTATGTCCTTTTGCGCATATAAATGAAAAAAGACAGAATATAATTTCAGTGTATTTTTATTAATTAATTACCCTTATTTATTATATTAAAATATTTAAATAAAGAGGAAAGCAAAGTTATTTTCATGCGAGAATTTGAAATCAGTTTATTTCAAACTCAACGTTTACCGATAAAAGGCAGTTCAGTTTTAAAAACATTTTGTGGTTCAATTTTACATTGAATTGAAGTTTATATTACATATAATAGCGTACAATAACATTGTTTTGTTAGCCACTTTTCTTCGTTTTCAACCACCATTTCAGAAACAAACAACGACGAATGTCAACGTGCATTTAATAGCCCGCGTGCAGGCCCAAGGGAACTGATAGTGGGCCTGCAAGCAAGGCCCGGTATTTTGTAAAACGCCCCTTTTCATAACACGCCCATTCGCGCGTCAATTGTCAAAAAAGGACCAATGACAGCACCCAAATATTAACAAACAAACTCGTATTAAAATGTTGCGGGGTTTTCTCTGCTTATTGAGAACATAAACAATGTGTAAATGGCTGCCTTTTAACTACAAAAAAGCAAGCAACGCAGTCATGCAGTAATTGCCAAATTTGCCAGTGTTCATTTTCAACTAAAATCGGAACAGGCAAATTAGGACGAATTTCAACAGAAATCCAGTCTCAAACTTCAAATCGTGAGGGAAGTCGTGCAACCACAATAGCATTTATAATGTGTGCTTCGCTGTCGCCATTGTTATAAATAAATTGTCTCACTTATCAGATCATATGTGCAATTCTTGTTGGCGGCGGAAAGTACGAAATTTATTTCAGTTATTTCATTTGGTAAAGAACTCTACAAAAGAAGAGAGCGTTCAGACATAGATTATAGATCATACCAGATGTCTCACTCAGCCAAAATTGTGTCCGCGATTTTTTATGAGCACGAATTGGCCGCCATTTTGGCAGTAAGTGTAATCCACGCTATGAAACGTGAGCAATCACGCACTTTGGCAGTAAGCGCCATTTTGGCAGTAAGTGTCCCACTCGTCATCTGGCGTGATAGCCTCGCGAAAATCGCGGACACGAAAATCATAGGGATAGATACACAGTGAGACATCTGGTATGATCTATAATCTATGGTTCAGAGTCCAGATCGTTTCGTTTCAAACGGCAATTTAATACCGTCTTCTGTTTCGCTCTCTCAGCGAAGCCTTGTAAATCGCAAAGTGTTTCGAATAGGCTTTAATATATGCAACTGCATCTCAACATCAACCACCAAAAGATAATTTTCTTGAGGAACATATAACGTATCAAGTCTGTTTGAAATTAATGAAACTCAAGTAAAGGTTACTATAGTTTACCCCAGCCGTAATGAGTGTTATTCCAACACCTCACGACAAGCAATCCCCATTGGCATAACGGCAAAAACATCTCTTCCTTCAAGTAAACAATAAACAGTCTGTTCTTGTTCCACTTATAATCGAAAAAAGTGATCAATTTTCGAATTTTAAGCTTATCGAGAGCCTTTGTGATGAATCACTGACCTAATTATAGAATCCAACAGCAAACAGCCAATCAGAATGCCGCGTTCGTGGGCGAACGCGGAAAGTACAAAATACCGGGCCTTGCTTGCAGGCCCACTATCAGTTCCCTTGGGCCTGCACGCGGGCTACGTACATTTAATAGTTTCGAAGTCTAAACAATATAAAATTACACATATTCTTACAATAAAAAAGACATACAAAATACAGCAATAATGCAGATAAACGGAAAGTCACATGCAATTAATTACCCGGTGGTCTCCTCGCAATTAAACGGCTACAAATTCTTAAATATCGCCTCTTAAACCACTTTCTAAAAGTCTATAACACTCGATCAAACATGGCGTCCAAAAATCCTTATATTTTTCATCAACCAAAAGTCGCTTCCGTAAACTTCGTAATCTCGTTTCACATCGCTCAAAAGTCGTTCGCTAAACTTTCGTACTAAACGAAACACTGCCACCTTTTATTATCGGTAACAAGTTCTCAGCATTAACAAAGTTCTATCAGAATCAACGTAACTCAACATAATAAGACTATAAGGTGTTTTTGCAAGTTTGTGTACCTAAGTTTCTTATCTTTTCTTCATCACTTATCATCATGATCAGCAGGCAGAATTACTACTGTGACATAATCTTGACCACTATACTTATTGAAGGGTTCTCCACTCTTTGGATTCTTCCATCCTAGCTCCTCTTACATCTCCACCACTCCTTACATCAGTTCTTGTGTCTGTCGTGCTTATCCGCGTGCTTCCAACTCTCTCTTCATGCCCTGCAACCATTTTCTGAATCACTTACATCCGACGACGTTTCAATAATTCCATGAACTTTCACATCATGCAACCAGAACTTTCTCTTCGTCTTAAAACCTTCCTAGCTTACATTCATGGCAGTAATACAAATGCGTTTTGTTCTCATTGCCATTCTGATGTGTCTTATAATGATGTTTTAAACCATTTCTACTAGCGTGTCATTTACCACACACGGAGAAAATGAATGGTTTTCCTTCCAAACTCTTACGAATTGCCTCGTTCGAGTCTTCATTGTTTCTTGATGTGTCCGTCAAGGTTTTTCCACCACCTTCCTGACTCTTTCTTGCATCAGAATTTCGCACGTCGCCATTCCTTATGTGAACATGTGTGGTGTTACTGTTGTCACTTTTTTCGCCACTGAGTACACTGCCAGCATCTTCCTTGGAGTCACTATTATTGTGGGCGGCAACATCTTTCCTTGTGATCTCTGTTATGTTGCTGGTCATATCACCCTCATTTCTCTGCTCAGCGCTCATTCTGGTGCCAGAACTTTCCTTCGCCTTTTCATCATTTCTTGCACCACCATCATTCTTTGCTCTTTTGATGACTTTCGTAATAAGAAAATCACTCGTTGCACCGATGTTGCGTTCCGCAGTGAGGTTTGTGTCACCGACTGCCCGAACAACTCTCCGCTTGTTTTGTACCCTCACATCATTCTTCCTTGTCTCAATGTCTTGCCTTGCAATAACATCTCTCGCTGCAGTTTCTTTTTTATCAACAACATTCTTTTGTTCGTTCCGTCCATCGGTGTCTTTTCTCTTTCTACCAAGAAGTTGTACATCAGGACTGCCTTTCCTCTTCTCACCAACGTGCGTAAGTATTTTTCTCGTCGTGTTGCTCGGTTCGACAACTCTTTTTGCTTGTCTTCTCGGTATTTCGTTTCTCTCACTTGATCGACTCCCTTCACCGTTCACTTTAACAAGTCTCTGTGTTTCCTCCACTTCTCTTGATTCATGACTTTCATGAGCTTGGCCAACGTGTGGTCTTTCCTCATCAACTTGTCTTTCTTCAACATCACTTGTTATTTCATTGTTTTGCTCCATTTCACTATTTAGCTCTTCTTCATTCGCATCTCTCATTGCTGCCCATCTGTTGTCTGGTAATTCTTGCGGATTTCTTATCCACTGGTATTCTGCGGTCCATTTCTTCTCTTCGTCGTCAAACGTCAATTTGCTTTCGATCAGCTTCAGTTCTCTCTCTGCTTTGAGGGTGTAATCATTGCTTCCCTTTGGACACTTTCCACATTTACAACCTCCACAGCATGGTGAGCAAGCTACCCCCAGACCTTCAATGTTGTAGATGTCCTCGACATTAATGGCATTGACATGATTGGCTCGGGCACTAGTCAACTCACTGGTTGGGTGAATTTCTTTGATGCTTGGGTGTTTGCCACCAATGCATTTTCCAAACTGGTTTTTCAGTAGCAGAAGGTGGACACTTTCCACATTTACAACCTCCACAGCATGGTGAGCAAGCTACCCCCAGACCTTCAATGTTGTAGATGTCCTCGACATTAATGGCATTGACATGATTGGCTCGGGCACTAGTCAACTCACTGGTTGGGTGAATTTCTTTGATGCTTGGGTGTTTGCCACCAATGCATTTTCCAAACTGGTTTTTCAGTAGCAGAAGGTGGACACTTTCCACATTTACAACCTCCACAGCATGGTGAGCAAGCTACCCCCAGACCTTCAATGTTGTAGATGTCCTCGACATTAATGGCATTGACATGATTGGCTCGGGCACTAGTCAACTCACTGGTTGGGTGAATTTCTTTGATGCTTGGGTGTTTGCCACCAATGCATTTTCCAAACTGGTTTTTCAGTAGCAGAAGGTGGACACTTTCCACATTTACAACCTCCACAGCATGGTGAGCAAGCTACCCCCAGACCTTCAATGTTGTAGATGTCCTCGACATTAATGGCATTGACATGATTGGCTCGGGCACTAGTCAACTCACTGGTTGGGTGAATTTCTTTGATGCTTGGGTGTTTGCCACCAATGCATTTTCCAAACTGGTTTTTCAGTAGCAGAAGATGTCCGTTTCTTCTTTCTAGCTGTGGATGAAACCCTGCATACTCGTAGCCAATCAGTAGGTCGAATGGTCCAGTCGGTCTTGCGACTTCTTCGGCACTAACGCCCTTGAACAAATGAACAATACCATCAAAATTGACAGCTTGGATGTCCGATGTGATTCTTTCTATCCCGTAAGCTTTGATAAACACAGTTTTGCCGTATTGGTTTACCAAAGGGACCCGGTACAGGTGCGATGTAAGCTTCTAATCTATTCCACCCACCTTGGTGATCGACAGTTGAACTTGTTTGCCATGCAGTTTCTCTTCTTTAGCTTTACTGTACGTGATAAGACAAATAGATGCTGCACTGTCCCACAAGACGTTGGTCGACCCTTTGGTGGTTTTGATTCTTTGGATCTGTAAGAGGTAAGTACTGTTGGTCATATCACCTCAAGCAGCGGAAAGGCCACTCTTTCGTTCCATGTGAATAGTTTTGTGATGTGTCCCTTTGCATCCATTTTCACCGCAGGCTTTCTTTCTCTTGCATTCCGCTAGTCGATGACCAACTCTCACGCATGGCCAACACGCTGACTTGTCCTTGAGCAGGTTAATTCTCTCTTCAGGCGACTTGGAAAGGTAAAGGTTACATGTATCTGTCCAATGATCACTATTGGGGTGAAATAGGCACTTGTTTTGTGAGATAATGGTTTCCTTCTGCTGGTCCGTATTACTTTCATCCTATTGGCCATCTTCCTCTAATTTCTCACTTGCAGTAAGGTTGATTGTTCCAGCATATGAAGTATTGCTTCGTAAGTTGCTGGAATTATACTCAATTGCTCTCTTACAATTAAGCAGAAATTTCAGGAGGCTTGGAAATTTATCTCTCTTGTCCAATTCGCTTGTATCAAAGTTGACTAGCTTGGTCAACTCCTTTCGCACATCGTTTGGCAATTTCTTCTCTATTATGCTCACAGAGCAAGTAGTAGTGATCTCCTTTCCTAGACCGAGTCTTCGCAAATCTTGATAAGCATCTTCTACAATATTAACAAAGTTGATAAATCTCTTATGTTCTCCTTCTTTTATGACTTTTACCTCTTTAATGCTCTCAATAACTACGTCCGCAATCTTCGCTGGAGATCCCATACTTTTCATCTAAACTCTTTAACATCTCTTCTATGTCGTCCTCTACACTTCTTACAATACTGAGAGGTTCTCTGCCGAGACATGATCTCAAGGCATAAGGTGCAGACTCTTTAGGCAGTCCTGGTAATACTTGCTGCTCGAAGTCTTTCTTAAAGCGTGGATATGTTGGCATTTTCAGTCTGAGGTTACACGATTCCTTACTTTTACTTGTTGATTCTAGCTTCTTTAGTTTCTCCTGTTCCTTCGCAATACCGACTGCAATTCTTGATGTTATGGCATTATACTGCCTTTGAATATTTTTCATCCAATTAAGTTCTGCATCTGCTTTGTCCTTATCGAGCAGTTCAAGGTATTTATCATTAGCTTCCTTGCAGTCGGCCACTGCTGCATCTAATCCTTCCTGAGCTTTTTTTAGAGCAGCCGTAATACAATCCACTTCCAATACTGGTTTCACATCCTCTACTAACTGCTGAAAAACAATTTCACTAGTTTTCTTCTTTATTGTCATCTGCTGAACCATTTTTTCCATTTTTTCCTGGTCTTTCTTAGCTGTCTCTTGAAGTCTTTCTTCATCCAAAGCCTTTTTACCAGCTGCTGCTTTACTTTGGACATTGCTTACCTCCTTTTCCATTGCGTCACCAAAGCTCCTTTGCAGCTCCTCAATCCAAGTCTCTTCGTGCTCGCAGTCCTTATCTTCGATGAGTGCAACATACATATCGTGTTTGCTTTCCACATTTTTCCACGACTCTTTTAGCTCTACATAGGTTCTATCTACAATCTCAAGTCTCTTATCTTCAGCAATAGCTCTTAGAAATTCCTTTAACTTCCTAGTAAATTTGCTCTTAGCACTTGTTCTTTGACGTTTGGCACTTTCTATTTCGTCGGACATCTTTGTTTTTACACGTTGTTCGATTCACTACGTTTAATAAACACTAACTCATCAAAATTCTGGCATAATTTAGGCTTTCGTACCTTCAGAGACGGATTTCGAATGTTTTGTTAGCCGCTTTCTTCGTTTTCAACCGCCATTCCAGAAACAAATAACGACGAATGTCAACGTACTGTACATTTAATAGTTTCGAAATCTAAACAATATAAAATTACACATATTCTTACAATAAAAAAGACATACAAAATACAGAAATAATGCAGATAAACGGAAAGTCACATGCAATTAATTACCCGGTGGTCTCCTCGCAATTAAACGGCTACAAATTCTTAAATATCGCTTCTTAAACCACTTTCTAAAAGTCTATAACACTCGATCAAACATGGCGTCCAATAATCCTTATATTTTCCATCAACCAAAAGTCGCTTCCGTAAACTTCGTAATCTCGTTTCACATCGCTCAAAAGTCGTTCGCTAAACTTTCGTACTAAACGAAACAAACATTAATTTTGCAATTAAAAGTGATATTTTGGGGGCAATTTTCAATTTTAAAACTATTCTTAATAAAATTATCTTGTTACCATAACAACTACTTTCAATACTTGATGTTCGAAGTACATAATGGTTTTGCGGTGAGGCGAGGGTTTCTGCATGGATGTATTTTCTAGTGTACATATAACTTTGTGCTTTACTTTTATTAGGTTGGAAAGTTAACGCAGGGAATTCGCCTGGAGTATTTCTGGCAATCGTTTGGTTATTATTGCTTATTCTGACGATGTTCCTACCAAGTGATCTCGCCGAAGGTTATGAAGACGAAAACCAACAAAGTATTAGCAATACTGATACTGATAGTGATTATGAAGTTAATGAATCTAAATCTAGAGGAACTATTATTGGCTGTCCACACTCGGTTGTCTTTTGTTTATATTACCTTATCTTCCTAATGGTGATTGTATGTACAGTTCCTTACATTTATATTCCGCTATTGGCAAAGTACCATCTAGGATTGGGACTAAGTCAAGTGAAATTATTTTACCTCAATAGTTCACTATTTGGCTTCGTTGTTTTACTTACCTTTTCCCTCTTGGTGGAAAGAATTTCCGAAAAGAAATGTATTGCCTTCGGTGTTGTTTCGTCGATAGTTCCGATTTTAACAATATTTTATTTTGCTCTGTTCTGGGAGAATGATATGCCAGTCAATGCAGCTTATCTTTTGCTTGTTTCACTGTTATTTATTGGTGCCCAGTTCGTAAACTTTCCTCTGCTCGGTTCATTGTTATCAAAACTAACATCAGCTGAGACTGCCTCATTTTATCAAAGTCTTACTTTTACCGTAGCTCATACCACCATTATGTTCAGTCGTATATTAGCTGGTGCTACGTTTCACAGAATGCCAATGATGTACACCTGTTTTTTTCTTACTATCTGCTGGTTATTTGGACTTATATGGTTGGGTATTGAATATAAGAACTTGCAAAAAGATGAGAACTGAATTGAAACCAACGCGTCTGTTAAGGATTCGTCTGTGGGTGGCGGGATCAAGGAAAGGGCCGGGACCTAAGTATGAGAATTAGATAGTAGATCTGACTTTGGAACAAAACAGTACAACCTAACTGTGAGACCTAGGCGGTGAAATGAAATATTTTAAAATTGTACCAGGTTTTCATTCTAGGAACCACCTTGGTCCATAATATTTTCCATTTTAAAAGCACAGTTCAGCCTTTTGAATAATTGATCTTTAAAGCGCATTACAACCCTTTTAATTGAAAAACCTAACTAGAAAAATCAATTAAGCATAATTCAAGATCAGCGAACTAAATGTTTTTAACATTAAAAATGTTATAAAATGTGAAAAACATTGAAATAACAAAATTCGGATAGCTCTGTCCCCCCAAAAGTGATTATTTCGAGCCTATTTAACTTGCCCTTACTTGCATGGTGTAACAAGGGATCGAGCACGCGCCATAGCTATTTGTGTTAATTTATACTAACTTTTAATTACATGTAAATGTCTTCATCGGGCGCCATTTTGAATGTTGAAAGCGGTATATATTATTAGCTTATGATACTCCAAAGGGCGACCGAGAAAGATCCAAAATTTAAAATACGGCGGAGAAAAAATAAAAACAAAGAGGGGAGTGAAACGGCCGAACACGTGATGGGGTATTGGCCAATGGCAATGCGTATATCCAATTTTGTTATCTGGCCATGCTCGTTGATCAAGAATTGTCAAATCTATCAAAACTTGAATTGATTTGCATCGTTGCTCGCCAGCAGTGAATTTTCGACAGCAGAGAAACAAAAACATTTGCGAATGCTGGACACAAAATACAGTATTAATAATTCATGAAGAAAATTCAAAAGAAATGAATGTTTAACCAATATTTGTAAATCGATCGGATAAAAGATTTGTAAATTGCCCTCATTTACATAAACTTCAGCTTCGATTTTCTCGGCTTGGACAATGTTTATTTTTAAAATTACTTCGCCAATTAACTCATATGATGGGTCGTCTTTTAAGCACGTTAAAACTTGAGCAGCCGATGTTTATCTGACGTACAAACTCTCGCCATTGTCCCCAATTTTAATAATAGATTCTATTGTGACTCGCTTGAACTAATTATAGTAGGTCAAATATAAAACAACGGTATAAATCCGAAAATAATAAAAAAAATTATTATATAAACATAAGTGTTATATAGAGTTTTTGGCCACTGAGAAAAATCGTATTTAAACAAACGTAAAAAATACGATATTTTTACGTGACTGTGAAAATATCATTTTTTGTAAAATGCATTGCCACAGACGTTTTGTTTTTCACTGAATTGTGTTTATATAACAAACAGAAAAATACATGGGTGCTTGGAAATGCCAGATTTATTTCTCGTGTTGAACATGATATCTCACTCGTTCGCTGCGCTCACTCGTGAGATATCATGTTCAACACTCGAAATAAATCTGGTATTTCCACGCTCCCGTGTATTATTCTCTATTTATTTTCGGAGTTACCGTTGTTTTATATTATATTAAAATACTCAGTGGTTTCCGTAATAGTAGGTCTCATTTTGTTTCCGGATTGTTCCTAGCAACATCAAATGTTCCTAGCAACAGTCAACCAGCATCAGTGGATAATAGTTCGGCCGTTTCTCTTAGTATTAATACGTTAACATTTTATACTTCTTATGGGGTTCATGTCAATAGTTTACAGCTTTTCAGGCATGCGTATGAAGTCAAACAGGTTGAGAAGTCAACTATAACAACAACAACAACGACAACGACAACGGCAACGGCAACGGCAACAACGACAACGACAACGACAACGACAGCGGCAGAGGGTTTAATAACCTGTTTTCGCGGAATGTAATGTCTTTCAATTTTGCTGACATCAGAAATATTTTTGACGCGCATTATCTCTACAACTGGAGCGTATTTTTCTTGGGAACTTTTTTCGGTAACTAATTAGTAACCAAAAAAAATTCCCATGAAAAATACAAAAGCATAAGCATCCATAGTACTATTCATCGAAACAGAGAAAATCTTTTCTCCAGAAGAATGCGACAAAACGAAACAATTTTCGAACAGGGCCCACGGCTTAGTGGGCGAGTCTGGCATTGTGCCACGTGCTCAGGTAGATTAATGCATGGGTCAAGTTTCAGCCAAGGTCGAAATATGGGTATACCAAGTTGGGCGCGATTTTTAAAAAGTAAACAAGGTTAGGTTTAACCTGCCATGGCTTAATGTTATAGATTTTAACCTGGTGAATTTTTTACCGATTTTTATTTTATTATTCGTTGTTCACATGAGCAGTTATATAGCCTTAAACGTCAATAAACACAGGTTAAATGGAAACCCATTGTGCGGACTCATAAAATCGCTTTCCCCAATTGCCATTTTGGTTTAATGTTGTACAGAGCATCTTGTACTAAACGAATCTAACTTGATTTGTTGTCTAGATGGCTAAACAAAGTAAATATTTTGCGTTTTATGTCAATTTATTCCGTAACTGTGCGTATTTGTTTAAATATATTTTGAATATTCGTGTTAATGTAGGTATATCAAGTTATTACTATCAAAGTTTGTGTTGTGCTTTATCTATTTAGCATAAAATTATCGTTGCTTATGTATTGTAACCTTGTCCGCAAAACGGGCGAAAGTCATAGTTTGTATCAAATATAGAAAGAAAGCTATCGCCATTAAGCCGTATTATTTACGACCAGCGGGAGTCCGCATTGTCGATTATAATTAGTTGCGCAAGACTGCAAGTCCATACAAGTGCGATGAATAGTGAATACCCATGATTTCATGTTTATATTGTACACCAACATCGTCTTGATTATTTCTTATCAATAAAATATGAAACTACAACTTTATAATATGAAATACAACATGAAATTGTTGCATTTGTATTGACTTGCGTCTTGCGCAACTAATTATAATCGACAATGCGGACTCCCGCTGGTCGTAAGTAATACGGCTTAATGGCGATAGCTTTCTTTCTATATTTGATACAAACTATGACTTTCGCCCGTTTTACGGACAAGGTTACAATACATAAGCAACGATAATTTTATGCTAAATAGATAAAGCACAACACAAACTTGATAGTCATAACTTGATATACCTACATTAAC